AGGAACGCTAAGACGAAAAGTAAAAGTGGAAGCTTCCGAATGTGTGGAGATACTGTGTAATTACAGTCACTACTCAGCATTTCTTACCTCCCCACTTCCGGTGCGTTTGGAGTGTAAGCTCTTAAACTTAGAGACGGAAAGCTAAAAACTTACTTTAAAATTCCTTTTTCCCCTTCTTTACTCCCTTTTTCCTGTATACATTTGCTCATTTTTTCTTTATTCCCCCACCATCCAGTGCTATGATGAACTATCTCTCCTTCTTCAATCTCTCTTTATAATATGTACACTGGGGAAAGGAAAATTGATTGTTGTAATTGATTGTTAAATAATTGAATTAACTGATTTAATTGATTTATTAATAATAGTGATAGTTATACTTTGATTAGGTATATAGGGAAAATAGTAAGAACATTAAGTATTATTTAATTAATAACTATAGGATTTTATATATTAATATTATAATTCATTGTGCAATCACAATTAATCCACTTGGGGACGAATGTAATACTGTTTGTGTTTAAGAATATTTAAAATAAGGTTAGATAATACATATATTTATTTATAATATGTAAATATAGTTGGATTTGGATATAATATTTATATATATATATTATTACGTGAAGTTATGTATAGAGGCTGAGCATTGAGACCTTACAAAATTATACATGTGATTTGGAATTTGGATTTAAAATAATACAGTGATAATATTTTTATCTATAAGAACATATACTCCAGTAATTAGCTAAGAGTACAGCTATCCAGCAGATAGATAGATTAAGTAATTAGATACCGGTCAATCCTAATATAGAGATTCTATTACTGAATGTTAATTTGGGATAATATAATTAATATATTACAACAACAAAAACAAATCTTAAAAGAAATGACTTCCACAACAACTACAGCTCTGAAAACTGGAAGAAAGGTCACCCCGACATTAACAACTACATCAGCAACAGCTTCGCCCATGGCACAAAAAAACATAGAAGAAACATTACCAGTGGAGAAACAAGCTAACATCTCGAATGCTAACATCCAATCAATTCTGCTGACTTTACAGGAATCGATGATGAAACTGCAAGAAACAATGAGGAAAAAGCATAATGAGACAAGAGCAGATATCAATGAACTAAAAGAGATGGGGAAATTAAAAGCAGAAATGAAAGCGGATATCTCCAAAGTAGAGGACAAAGTTGGATTATTACAGCAGGCCTTGGAGAAAAATGAAGCAACAATAAAAGAGGTAGAGAAAAGGACAGAACGAACTGAAAGGAAAATAGAAAGGGTAGATGAAGAATTAAAGAATGTGAGTAAAGAAATGGAGGACTCACTGGTCTACGTAGAGATGGACAAGGCTGCTACATACTTGAGATTCCAAAATATAGTGGAATCCAAAGAAGAAGACCTGGAACAACTAAGGGCGGGAATACTGGCTGGACTATTGGAAAAGGATAAAGATGATATCTTAAGGGAGTTTGATGAAGTTTACAGGATTAGTACTAATTATGCAAGATGCCACAAATGCCCAAGAGAAGTCCATATACAATTTGCGAGAAGGAGTGCCCAGGATAACATATATAGGATGTCAAGAGATGAAACAATCACGTATAAAGGTAAAGAAGTCTTGATTCTCAAACAAATACCAAGAAGAATAAGAGAACAAAGATGAGACTACAAGTTCTTAGCAGCTTACCTAAATCAGAAAAGAATCGTATTTAAATGGCTAATCCCAGAGGGGATGTTAGTTTTTTGGAACGAAAGGAAAATTAAAATAGACTCCATGGAAAAGGCCCAGGAATTTTATGAGCGATTGGTAGGTCCGGAAGACCAGAGCAGTAAGGAGGAACTGGAAACAAACTCCCAGGAAGATCAAGGCTATCATAAGAACAGAGATGGAACTTTAGGAAATCAAGGAAATACTCATCTACATCAGGAGAGAGAAGAAAGTAGAACACATCTTCAGGCACAAGGAGAGACCGGAGCCATTACAAGACAAAGAGCGAAACAGAATTAATTAAATGGAAGAAGAAAAGAAACTACTATCAATGAATATAAATGGTTTAAACTCGACAATAAAAAGAAAAAGGATAATAGCCAAACTAATCAAACAAAATGCTGATATAGTATGTCTACAAGTAACTCATATAAAGAAATCAGATGAAAAATACTTAGAATGTCCGAAATTAGGGAAGCTATTCACCGCACCAGCAGATACGAGGAAAAAGAAAAGGATTGCAGTTTATCTTAAAGAGGATTTGAAAGCAGATTTAATATGGTCGGATTCTGAGGGAAGAACTCTGGTTTTGCAGATCTGGATTAATGCCATCCCAATTCTCTTAGTGGTAATCTACGCCCCGAATAGAGATCAAACAGAGTTTTTTAAGCATCTTTATGGAAAAATAATAGGATTGGAAAAAAGAAATATTTGTATTATAGGGGACTTTAATTCTATTGCTGATTATCAAAAAGACCACAGTAACGGGAAGGAACAAAGGGGAAAAAAGAGAGCTTCCCAAAATATGCATGGAAATGATGAAGGAGTTAAATTTGATTGACATATGGAGAAGATTACATCCTGAAGAAAAACAATTTACATTCTATTCAAATCCTCATCAAATATGGACACGAATTGATATGGCATGGATGAATGGGGAAATAGCAAATGAGATAAAAGGGATTGAAATTCTACCCAATGAATGGGCAGATCACAATCCAATTCAGATAATATGGAAGGGTAGGGAAAAACCCAAGAAAAGATGGATGTTAAATACTCAGTTAATAAGAGAAAAAGAATATACCAACAAATTCAAGGAGGAACTAAACTATTTTTTAAAGGAAAATGATAATGGAGCAACTATGAAACAAAACATTTGGGATACAATGAAGGCAGTAATAAGAGGTATAACAATCTCTTATAACGCCAAGAGGAATAAGGAAAAATACACCCAGCAAAACAAATTACAACAAAAAATTAAGGAATTAGAAACTCAATTACAGAATACCCCAAAGGATTCAAAATTGCAAAAATATTTGCACAATATTTGAAACTATAAACAATGCTTCTCAAGTCATAATGGTTGAGATTATACAATTAAGACTGGACAAAATTATTATGAATTAGCTTGTTATATAAGCGCAGTTTATATGTCTATGGACATTCTCAGTCATCCAAGTCATGGTTGTCCCAAAGGTGCTTTTTCTTGTTTTTCTTTGAAGACATTTCACTTCTCATCCAAGAAGCTTCTTCAGCTCTGACCCCACCATCCAGTCAGAGCTGAAGCAGCTTCTTGGATGAGAAGTGAAACGTCTTCAGAGAAAAACAAGAAAGTCCAATTGCCTCTTGAAAAAGCACCTTTGGGACAACCCAGTTTATAAAAGAAAGAAAGAGGGCTACCTGTTGTGGCCCCAACTCCCGAGCCTATGCTGTCAGAGGAAGAGGATCTGGAAGGTGAGGGGGAGGAACTGGCAATGCCTTCCTCCCCAGGACCTTCCTCCCTGGCAATGTCTTCCTCCCTAGGACCTTCCTCCCTGCCAATGCCGTCCTCTCTGGTAATGCCTCAGGTTTCATCAGACAACCGAGAGGAACAGCCTGAGATGAATCAGAAGGAAGGCATGTCAGAACAGCCCCTCACAGGGAGTGAAGAGGAGTCTTGGCTCGACCCCAAGCAGCATCATAGGGAGAAACACGAGCAGCAACGTAGGAGGCGTGGGAGGGTCAGAGAGTGGGCTGAGTCACCCACAGGGGATAAAAGTGGGTGTGCTTTCTCCTTAAACTTTGTACGGGACAAAGTTTAACCTTACTTTAGACTTTATTCGTGACTATGTTGGAAGAACGATTGTTTTGTGGACTGTCTTGTGCTTTGTGAAATAAAAGACCCATTTCCCTCTGTGTGAGTAAGACTTTGATTTACAATTGCTGCTAGTTTGGACTTGGCAGGCAGGACGTAATGGGATGCCAAGAATGTTATCAGTTACAGAGGATTTGCTCTGCGAAGTTCAAGCCAGCTTGCCTGTCTGTTTGTGTGTGTGTATAATCCCTTACCTTTTGGGGGGGAAAGGGAAGGGGAGACAGAACAGCTACCCATGGGCTGTCAGGCTTCCGAACGGAAAATCACTTCATGTCAACATAGTATGATAGACTTGCGGGGCCGATATGTTGTGCAACAAGGTCACATTGTGTAATAAGATTTGGACTGGGTTAGGGACTTCTATCCTCACTGAGTTGTATTGGGGGGGGGGGTGCATGAAGGGAGGCTCAGCCAATCTCATTGTACACATATTGTACTCTGACAATAAAGGTAATAATAATGCCTGGGAGCAGATTCCCTTACCTTTTTAGCAGGTCAGAACTAAAGGTGAACTTACAATGCATGTGATTAAACAAACATAGGTCTGCTAGAGCTTGCAAAACCACAACATTATCTTAATTACGTTTTTAAAAGGACCAGCCTTTACTGTACGAAAAGTTAACATGTAATAATACCATTTAAACAGTCAATGCTAAATAAAGCGGATTACTTTAACTTCAAAAATGTGTACATATAATTTAACCCTCTAATTGTTAGTGCAAACTAATCCCGAGCAACACATTGAAAGCACGCACAGCGCTTTCCTTGGAGTGCAGTGCAACATGGAAGTTTTGGTAGGTATCCTAACGTGCGCGTCAAAGGGACAGGGAGGAAACTCCAACCCCCACCTCAAAAAAAGACTGTGCGCTTTTTCGAGGGATAGATGTCGTCGCGTTTATTTAATCAGCAAACGAGGCCGACTCGCCCGTGTTGTTCTGTTTTTCCAGAGAGAGCGCCTCCCGCCGCCTACACGGCAGCGGAGCTAGCCCTACTCCGAAGAGGCCGGAACGCTTCAGCGAAGCTGCTGAGGCACGGGGAGGAAGGGGGGGGAGGTCGGTCGCGAGAGGCAGAACCGGAGCAGCCGTGAGAAACGACTCCGGCGGACTTCTCGCGAGAAACTTGTCGTCGGCCATTTTGCCATTGATTGGCGCAGACGGCGTGAGGCGGGGAGGGCGCCTTGGCTGAGTGGAAGGGTAGGGGACGGGCGATAGAGGGAAAGGACGGTTAGAAGAGAAAAGCGGAGGGAGGAACATGAGGATGTCTCTCCCGCGACACCCCTCGCCGCCTTCTCCCTCCACCACGTCTTCCTCCTCCTCCTCCTCCTCCGGAGGTTCTTCTTGCTGACGACGACTCCCCGCACGAGTCCTCCCCCGCCCCCCGCCGGCCCCAAGCTGGCTGCGCCACTGGCCATGGTGCCCAGCGAAGACAACCAGCTGGTCCCTAAAGAGGTGAGCGCTCCTTTCGCGCACGCTTCTTCGGACAGGGCCAAAGCGCCTGCGGGCGGCGAAAGAGGAGAGGCCAAGCGACGCCTCTGCCTGCCTGTGCTGGAGAAGCCGGCGGGAGCGCGAAGAGGCGGACGGCGAAGGCCTCCTTTGGGGGTGGGTGCGGGTTAGGAGAAAGGGAGCGCCAGGCGGAGGCGAATCCCTCGCTGCAAGCGAGCTGGCCGTGGTTGAGGCGGTCTTGGTGCAAAGCCCGGCAGGTCGGGCGGAGAGAGAAGCGGGTAGTTTCCAGCGAGCGACGTCTTTAGGGAACGGCCTAACCGCTTTGGAAAGGCCCTGCGGCAGAGGCGCTGGGAAAGGACGATTTAAGAAGGTCTCGGCAAGCGGCGGCGGCGGGCCGGAGGGTTTTAGGATCAGGGTGGCGGGTGATGGGAGAAGAGTTGTCAATCGCGGGAAGCCTGGGGGTAAGCAGAGATTTGAAGGGTTGTCATTCAGGCTAAGTTGGGGCGAGGGGCAAGGAAGACCTTTGGGAAATCCCCCCCCCCCAATTTTTTTTCTCCTCAAGGCGCAGCTTTGATAGGGAGAGAGCAGTTATTAGACGCAAAATCTTTTTGCAGGTTTTGGCTTCGGCCCCCAAAGAGATCGAAAGCATCCTTGAGAAGGAAGGTCCATGATGTTTACTAAGAACTCCGGGGGGAAAATATAAAAATAAGTAAAGCCTGCTCTCTTTGCACGCAGGTGGTTTGCAGGGGTGGATAAAAGTTGAAGGACTGCTGGAAAGAGGAACTTCTTTTCGGTTGGTTTTCAAAACTGAGTTTTGTGAATTAGAGCCGATAGGATTTTTTATAATTTTTTTAAATGTAGGGTTATAATCTTGGGATTGCTACCACGTCTATTAAAATGAGTTTTCTTGCTAGCATTCCCACGCTATGGCAGGGTCCTTGAAATGAGCTTTAAGCTATTTTAATTGACTTATAAATTGCACTTATTTTGTGAGTGTTTATTATCTGCTAAGGTTATTGATTTTATATCATGGATAGTTTTATTGACAATTGGATGATGTAGTATAGTAATAGGATTGGAGTCAGATTGGTGTAGTAGTGGTTAAGGTGGTGGCTTAGAAGTTCAGAGACCAGGGAAGCCTTGAGTTTTCCTCCTGCTTTAGGCACGGAAGCCAGCTAGATAATCTTTGAGCCCTAGGAAGAAGATACTGGCAAGCTATTTCTGATAATGTTGCCAGAAAAAAACTGCATGGACTTATTCCTGCAGTCACTGGGAATCAGACTTGATAGACCATAACAGAACTGTAGTAGTAGAAGCAGCGGGCAACCGCAGCAGCGTTCCAGGTAGAACTGTAGCTGTCAAATTTTATCTTTGGAAGGAATCTTATCTATTCAACTTGTTTGCCATAGAATCACTATGCACAGTAAAAGATACTGTGATTTCTTCTGTGGCCTATAGAATATATGCTTAGGCTTAGTGGTTCTCATACTTGTCCCTTGTGATTTGAAAGTTCATTTGAGAAGACAACTGATATTTATTATTATTGTACGCAACAATGTGAAATCACAGCTGCCAGTTCTTTAGCCAGTGTTGGCTTTACATTCACATTGAATTCTTCCCAGGAACCTAAAATGTCATAATGTACTGACCTAATATATATGCAGTTCCAAGCCATGTGACCTTTGGTAATTGAATTATGGAAATTTTTTCAGTGTACAGATTTTCTAAGTGCTATCCAAGATTTTTTGATACGGCACTGTTGCTAATAACCACTGTAATTACCAATTTGATTTTCAGATCTTGATACTTTGTGATCTTCTCCAATTCTCTCTCTGCTATTCTACATCATCTGGTATTATCCACACTTTCTTTTCAACCACAATTAAATTTACCGCGTTATGCTCTGAGAGTTTATCATTTTGTATTTGATATGTAATATTATAATCAGATGGTTAGATAGTGTCATCGAGACGACATGAATTTGGGTAAACTCTGGAAGACAGTGGAGGACAAGGGAGGTTGTATGCTATGCTATCACATGCTATGATCCATGAAGTTGCAAAGAGTGGGACATGACTTGAATAACATTTGAATTACATTTATTGATGTACATTTATTATTAGATTTTTGAATAACATTTATTATTAGATTTTTATCTTTTTGATATATAATATATTAGATAATCTCAAAGTGACAAACGGACCTAAATTCCTTGCCTATTTTCTACACATAACCCTGTAAAGTGTGTTGAACTGAAGAGAGAATGATTGACCCAAAGTTACCCAGAAGGTTTCTATACCAAAGGGAGGCCTATAGCTCAGCTTAACCACTACATCAAACTGACTCTCAGCTTACTTTCCCTCTCCAACTTTATCATATAGACAGTATAGACAAATATAATTCTCAGGAAAGCTGATTTATCCTGATTTAATCTTTTTATTTGTAAACTGCCCAGATTCACTTAGGTGAGATGTGTGGAGTAGAAATTTGATAAATAAATCTTGTTATTCATAAATTCTAGTTCTCCTAAGCAAATTTCAGATTGGTAGATGTGTTAATAAAGAAAATTGTGCAGTTTAAAGTTTTAAATCATCTGTAGATATCACTCGTACATTAGACTAAATATGTTACCACTCAAAAGAAGATATAAGTTAAGTATACACTGTCATACCCTTGCACGGTAGCATATTGTGTCAAATATGCAAAATGCTTACGTTGGGTTTTGATACAGATGTGTGGCAGCTTAATAAGTGAATTTTACTGTAAAAATAGTGTCATGTTTAATTATTTTATACCAGAGAGAAATGGGGAGGGGACTTTAATATTTGGGTAGTGACACAGCGTATAATCACAATTAATTGCTGTACTGGAATCCTAATTCTAAATTTACTAACATATGCAGTATAATACATCTGTTTTATGGCATTAATGTAAATACTTAACTTCATAAAAAGCACATAAATTGCTGTTTCTGTAAATAGTATGTTCCTGTTATTCCACCCTATCCACCATAATATTGCTACATCTTGTTTATCTTGATGTTGCAGTATTGTTTATTTCTTAAATCCTAGCCAGCATTATTCAGCATTTTTCTACTTTAAACCTTAATTCAATGCATTGGTATTAAATCAATCTTTTCCGACGTTTGATTCATTCCAGGTGTATACACTTCAGTTTCTAGAATTTTCAGCAGTGACTATGCTAGCTGGGGACTTCAGAGAATTGAAGTCCACCCACCTGGAAAATGTCCAACTTGGGCAATGGTGTACTAAATGATAGCAAGGACATTATTTTGGCAGCAGTTTTATTTTTAAAAGTAATGGACAGCTCTGCCTATAAAGTTTTGAACCCTAATAATATGTAATGGTTATCTAGACATACATAGATCACAGATATTTATTGAATGAGAGTGAAAAGAATAATAGTTCAGCATTACTTGGTGTCCAAGAAGCAAAGGGAGTGTTTGGCAGTAATTATAGATAACTAGCCCAGGCTGGAATGATTAATGGCAGTCTGGCTGTTATCATTGTACTTCTAGTTATAAAAGATAGTATTTAGACTAGCAATTTAAACAGCATGAGCCATGAGGATTTAAAATGCTTTCTCTTTTTGTGAAAAGGATTCTGGGGAAAACAGGAAATAATAATTTTCCTAAATCATATATTTTGAAGAAATCAGTTACTTATATCTATCTATAAATAATATAAAGAAATAGTTTATAGTGTTAACATAATTTTATCTTTCTGGTTTTCTTAATTTGAGGTAATCTTGCTTTCAAATTAATATCATGTTTGTTTATTGAGAAATAACATCTGAATTTATGAATTCATTGCCAAATTATAAAAACATTTTTAAATTCAGCAGAGTTTATTTTTCAAGTATGTGTGTTTATGTATACAACCTAGTGTTAAAAGTATTTATATATTGGAAAATAGAAAAAAAGAAAGAAAAATACTATTCCATATTTGTTTAATGATGACAAGAAAAACATGGAGCATGATACCTTTTTCCCTTTAATGACTGCTTAAGAAACATGGTAAAAAACATTATAACAACCAAGAATGCTTTTATTTAATACATTCATACGTAATTAATTCCTAAGCATTCATTCAGAGCCCATGTATTAAACTTTGAATGCTTGTTCCACAACGTGAATGAAAGCAAATTACTGATTTCTTTTTGAAGCTTAACAAATTCTGAGAAGAAATACCACTATATATTAAAAAAAGAAAGACCTTGATATAACAAGTATCAATCATATGTTGTAGTGGGGTTCATATATGAAAGCACAGGGAGGAATAGAATTGTCCTGTGTGCCTTATGCATTTATGCATAAGATAAGGTGAGATGAGACTAGTATGAATGTCTGTAAAATAGACCTTGGAGAAGCACATTGTTTGTTGTTTCTGTGTGTCCAGTCATAGGAACATTATCTCTGGGTAGGGAATCTTCCTATATCATGGCCTTGAAGGACAGCTGAAGGGAGAACATGACATCACGTCAGGGTAAAGGCCCTCCAGTGGTTAAATATTTTGAGTTAAGTATGTCATGGGGAGGCAAAGTATCTGTTGGATTCACTGGCAATAAAGGTTGGAACGTGTCTATATTTAATTGCTATTGTGAGTTGTTTAATGAGTGCTTTGATCCAATCACTTCCCAATCATCCCATGCTGAATAGAACACCTGGGTTATCAGATAAGAGTACACCCACACAGTAGCTTCCACTTTCATGAGGTCTATCTCTAGTATATGAGAGGCATTATTTACCTTTTTGGGCTTGAAGAACCAGTCTTAGACATTTGGATTGAACAAATAGTGCAAAGTTGAAGAAGAGGCCATAAAGAAGTTATGTAGTTGGCTTGGCTTGAAATAATATGAGTGCCACAGGTATATGTCTTAAGGAATTTTAAGGATGGCAGATTAAATGTATTACTGCATCATCTGCGTAGAGTAGAACAGAGATGTGTGTTCGTCAGAAGCCTGATGATGGCAGATGAGATTCTGCCGAAACGTTGCTACAACTTTAAAAGCACAACTATAATGATGTGGGAAAATACCCGAACAAAGCTGAATACCATACATGTAAGTACCCGCGAAAACTTAAGAAAACATACATATACATACATACATACATACATATATACATACATATATATATATATTACTATGTAGCATATGCATTAGATATAAAAGCATCTGACATTGAAGGTTTCCCCAGTTTTTCCCATAGTTTAGTTCAGAATACAAAATCAAAAGCTACTTTAAACTGTGAAGGCAAGATAAAGAGACATATTGCAGGAGGATATCAAGCAGATGTAGGAGTACTAGGCAGTAATAAATGGTGGATTGGCCTTCCCTAAAGCTGGCTTACTCTTCTGTAACTATATTTTCCTTTCCCAGCCAGTCCTGGAATTTCCATTGTAAGTGTCTTGCATAGACTTATGTTGATTGTGTTGAGGGGGCAGGTCCATTTATAATATTTATTTATTTATTTAATTTATATTGCTGCCTTATTCGCCCATGGCGACTCAAGGTGGCTTACAGAATATAAAACCACATTTAAAACAATAAAAACTCACAAAAAGAATCAAATAAATTAATATAGTACAATGTAACAAAATCATCCCCCACTTCCCACCCTCTGCCCAGGCGACAGTAGATCACACGAGCTATTTCATGGTCTCCATGCCGCTCTGGGTACCCCAGGCCCACTGGCAGAACCAGGTCTTCAGTGCCTTCTGGAAGAATATTAGAATGGAGGCCGTTCTAATCTCTGTGGGAATGATGTTCTAGAGAGAGGGAGCCACCACAGAGAAGGCCCTTCTTCTGGGTCCCACCAGGTGTATCTCCCTCGGGGATGGGCCCCACAACATTCCCTGCCTCCCCGCTCTGATGGGTTGAGTAGATGTGACTAGCAAGAGACTGTCTCTCAGAAAACCTAATGATAACCTCAGATAATTAGCAGGATCATGCTTTTACCTTTTATATATAGATAAATGATTAAAAGTCCCCAACCCTTGGGGATTCAGCCATAGATGTCGATGCAGGTAAAAAGTGAAGCCAGGGTGGGGGTAGAACCCCAAATTGTTTTTAATGGATTCTGAACTGATTAGATCTTCTAAGATCTTTTCTAGTCTTAGTTAAGCAACAAGATTCTTGATCTCTGTCATTGTCACTGGTGCCTATATTGGCAAATTTTCTTAGTTTGGCTAGGATGTCTACTTCCAGCAGAGATACCATGTAGAGTTCTTGAAAATATACCTTCCAGGTCCCGCAGGGGTGATGTGACAGTCCACCATAGAATGACTATTTCTTTGGAAGCTTGATGTGATATGCCAAATTGAGGATGAGCTATTGGATTTGACTGCTCGAATGAGTTGGGTCCTATTATTTTTTATTGCTTCTTTTTTGTTGTATGCCAGAAGTTGCTTGTAAGTATCTTTTCTTCTGGAGGAGGTCCACTGCAATTGTCAACATAATATTGGATAAATAAACCTATAATGTTAGCAAGAGCTTTTTTGGTATTAACACAGTCATCAAACCATGGCTTGAGTAGTGCTATTTTTGCTTCAAGCGCACTGACCTTGTGTGTATCACTGAAATCAGGATAGGACCAAAATGAGAGGTTCCCTTTTCTGAGATATGCCCTGTTAGGTTTGGGATGTGGAATCAGCTGAGACCCCAGGATAGGGGTGATGCAGTGGCAGTGCTCATCCAAAATACTTGAGAGACATCCAGGGACACTATCCAATAGATTACTGTGTGTGAGACCCTATTTATTAGGTTGAGCTCTAGGATTTAGTTGGGATTATTGCTATTCTCCCAGTTTCCTTGCTGTGTGGCAATCTTCCTTTATGATCTCCTTGACTCCAGGTTAGTGGTGGAGTTCCTCAGACTTACGGTCTTAAGGGACTTCACCTTGCCATCTATAGGTGTGGACTTGGAAGGTCATGGCCACTGGGACAGCCATGGCCTGTAGCAAGTCAGCCATGGCCAATGTATAATAGTGGTCATACATGTGACCTTTTATTTATGTCTGAATAGTAGCAAGGTGTTGAGGATTTGAGGGAGATACTGATTTCTCCCCTATCATTGTCATATCACAGTTCTGAATTTGCAGTTCTCAGTGTTGCCCACCCCTCCCTACAGGGAGGCTGGAGTTATTGTATTAGTCCACTCCAGACAATTAGTGGACCTGGTTGGATTCCAGAGGGAACTGAAGGTTATTCCAGAAGGTCTGCTGAAGCAGTTGACTTGTTTAGTGATCATTCAGTTATGATGGTGGTGACAAATTAATTACTACTTCTGTATTGTTCAGAAAGCTATCCAAACTCTTTCAAATGTATAAAATACTAGGCTTGATAGTACATTTTGGGATTTTCCTGACCCATTTGGGGAGACACATAAAATACTTATGTAACCTACCCTATTATATAACAATTTTTCTTCTTTTATATATATTAAATATTCATTTGTGTGAGAAAACAAATACTTTCATTGACTAAAGGTTAGCTTCTTTAAAAGCTGAATTTTTAAGTTAACATTTGATAGCATAATCATACTATTTTGTGTTTATATATCTTAGGAGATGCTTTGGAGATGCAGACAGAATATATTTGATGAAATGAAGAAGAAATTTTCACAGGTAGTTAGTTAAAGTGAATGTTTAAAAGAGTTCAGTTTTGATAGCATGAAATTAGTGCTGTGCACAAGTAAATAAAATGGTTTATAAATGCACTAGAGTACTGATTTTTAATATATTTCTAAGAGTGCAAGATGATTTGGTATCTTATATGAAACTCTAAGCCTTAATTTTAATGACTACAAAAATCAAAAGCATGGTTTTGAAAATTCTAATGAATGATAATTTGCATGACTTCAACTTTGAAACTTATAGTTTCAAAACCTATACTAACTTAAGGTATTCTGGATAATTTAAAAATTTCCACCGTTTTCAATTAATTTAGCAAAGGTACTACTCTAATACCATTTTTGGAATTCTAGTTAAAACAGCTTGCTTTATTTTTTTATATTAAGTTGTGTTTCAGTTAACTGATGAATGTGAAATATGAAATAGTTGATGAAAGTATCTTGTGTATTTTATTTCAACTTTTCCCAAAAGTTACAGTGCTCACACTTACATTTTGGTACACAAATACTTCTGCTCTTTCCATTGGATGCGGGACTTTTCTACCAATAGAATAGACATGGTATATATATGTAAAAGTAAAAGAGCAGTTCTCTTACTTATTAGTTTTTTCAACTTCTTCTGTGCTATTTTTTTATGGTTGAAATATTTTAAGGATAGTTCTCACTTAACAATCACAATTGGGAGTAGCAACTCTTTCGTTAAGCAAAGTGGTTGCTAAGTGAAATTGCGACTGTGCTTATGATCTCATTTCAACTTTGCTTTGTAGAGTTTGTAAATGTGAGGAATGGTTGTAAAGTTACTATTTCATCACTTTCATAACTGAACAGTCGCTAAACAAAGACTACTCGTAACGAGATGTTACTGAAGAGTAATAGCTTTAATATGTCATAGCATAGTATTTCAAATTAGAAAAAAACGAAGTATGACAATGAACATAATTCTGAAATTGCCCATTCTGAAAGGTAACCCTATGATCAATTTTTAATAAATACATGTTTTAATTTTTAATTCCCTCTTGTCTTTTGTGTAATTCAGTTTCATTCTAGTTGCAATGTGGCCTTTCCTAAGCAGAAAGAACAAAATAGAAAGGGGCCTAGGAGAGAGTACCTTTTTTTTCAAAGTCTCTGTATGTATCTTTGATTTCAAACTAAACATTTTGATAATCTTCTAATTACATGAATAGCGTTATTAGACTCTCAGAGAGAATCTTGAATCCTCTTACTTGATCATTATAAAACAACATGGAATTTCAGGCAAAAATGGCTTTTTTCTAGATGATGTGTTACTTTTTTTTTTTTTGAAAGAGCATAGGAATGTTAAGTCTTAGTTAATTTTTTTTGTTTCTAAGCCCAGTGAAGATACATTATTTGACTTACTTAGAAGTACACTTGCTTAGTTCTGTAGGATCTAAAAACCTTGTCTTTTGGTTTCTCACTGTCTAGTTTTCTGTTCTGATTTTTAATAATTAGTTTCTCATGCTGTTTTCAGTTATTGACAAATAACATTTTTATTGTAAGCACCATTCATCTCTGCAAGGAAAAAGGCACTTTTAAAGTGGTTCTCCTTATAAATTCTTTGGAATCTCCAAGAAGGTTTGGGGAATTTCCCAGTGATTTAGTGAACAGTTTGATTATGTACCTGGTCAACCTCTGAATAACATTGCCTCCAAATGGTCTCTGCATTCATTGATCTTGGCTTACTCCTTGATAAAATGAGTAGCTCCTAGATATGAAACAACAAAATAAATGCCTAGAATGATGCTACCAGAGAAAAAGAACAAACGCAAATGAATATGAAATAAATCCAGATTTGTGCCTACAAATGGTGGTTAGGGCAGAAGAACATTGTTATTACTCAATCCTTATTACATCTGCAGGCTACTGCCCAGCAGCTTTATTCAAAACAATCTGTGTTTTGATGAAATAGGGTTCACAGTGGGATACCTTACATTGAGTGAGTTGGATACTTGCCCGCGTTAGCTCAACCAGAGAAGACACAAGAAGATGGATTCAAGAGATGGTGAATGTCTCTCAAATGGAACATTTTCAAAGAGGCAGTGGTATACTCCTTTCTTAAGAGGCTCCCACTCCATCCAGTCATCTTTAAACAACTTCTACCTTATCTTTCCTTTTTAGAAAAGGTATTAAAAGAAAGTGATCTTTCTTCAGAATGACATAGATGCAAAATACTTATATTCACTCAAGATTTAGTATTTGAGCATGGGTGGGAAATTGGTAGGTTCTTGAGATATCAGCATTGGTTAGGGGTTAGAAGTACTTTTCTGCAGGGTTCTACACCTTGGTCACTGAGCAGTTTTGCAGAAGGTAAGATGGAACGAGAGATAAAATCATTGTGGTGAGCTCCTAGTTCCACCCCCTCCCTTATATTGATATCTGTATGAAGCTTATGGAAGAAGCCATCCATTGGCATATGTAAGGTATTAAAATGTAGATTATCTCCTATATCTCCCTGGGTAAAAAATGTTGACTGGGTGGTTTAGAGCAGGGGTCCTCAACCACCGGGCCGCGGACCGGTACCGGTCCGTGGAGCACTCTGTACCGGGCCGCAAAGAA